TGATTGTCCATTGTCCTGAGGCAAACACACTCCAACCATCGAATTTACAACAGAACCTAGGGGAGTAATTAACTTTTGAATCACACAGTCCCACATTCCCCACTGATTTTTTGTAATCTAAGTAATCTTACACATAAATGTAGGCATCCATTGTATACAACAGCATGATAATAATAAGCAAATACATATGATTATAATGGCAACAAATAGTTGTTTCAACCATTGTAGATTGGGTAACCACCAAGTCAACCATTTGAATAAGTCCCCGCCATCTTTATCATGTACTTTTTGAGCCAGATCTTCTAATTGTTTTATCTCTTTTTTAATTTTTGGACCATTATTAGTTAGATTAAAGCAACACATATTTTTTACTTTTTTCACAGCCTTGGTGGTGGAAGAGCAACAGGTAATCTATTGCTGCTCTATTGTCTAAGATCGCTTGTCTCTGTTTTTGTAACTCTTGGTCGATTAGCGCCAAGGCCGACGAAGTGGCATTTAACCCTTTTACTACCTTACAAGCTAATTTTCGTACGGCCTTTTCAGCATGTACTCCTATAGACAGCAGGGCAACAAAAGAAGCTATCATGGTTATTACTTCAGCATCTGTTAACAGACCCACATCATCATCACATCTTGGTGCAGTATAAGGTGACCACCATTTAGTTCTGTTAGGCACAATCAAATCAGTTCTATCTGGTAATACTACAGCTAATCGACTTAAACAGCAGCGAGTTTTGGTTAAATTAGCTGGAGTGTAGTTGAAAGTTTCTCCTTCACAGGTATAAAACCATCCCATTGGCAAAGAAATATGGCAGTTGTTATATACAATTTTTTTGTTCTACACGGCAGGACTTTTTTTTAACTGTTTGATCTTTAAACATTTAGTTGTACAATTTTCATATACAGCACATTCAGTCTCATTTGACATGATCACTTTAGGCATATACAATTTGACAGCATTTTTAGGCTTATGACATGTGACAGGCCTCCAATTATAACTATCTATATAAGTAAAGTTTTTTTGGAATATCTTTAAACAGAGTATAAGGCCGTATTGACTCTAAAGGGGTGCACACCGGGATAAGACAACTTCCTAATACATAATGGAAATTTACATCAACACTTAAACAGAATTTAGATAGATTAAGCAAGTTTGCCAATTGAATCCATATATTTTTTTGTGTGATCTAACTCTCCTGAGGGCAATACTGTCAATGTCCTAGAAAATATTATCATGAAGGTGAAGCATATCCAACCCGCTCCAATCTTAGCTTTTGGTAGCCCGGTTGGCTGATAATCTTCCATTTGTCCTTTTTGATGTCCGCGGGGGGTCCTGGTTTTAGATGGTTGCAATGTATCCAGGCAGAATGTCCAGCCACCTTTACCGCCAAGGGAGCTGACAGGACAACAGGAACCGGCCCTTTCCAATGAGGTTCCAGGGTCTTGGAATCAAACCTGTGAATAAAAACCAAATCTCCCGGCTTATAGGGTAAAGGTTGTAAAGGTTTATCATTTGGACTAGTCATTTTCTTTCGTAATGTTTCGTGTAGCTCTGACTGAAGCTGATGAACTGCTTTTAAGGATTTAAGGAGCCGAAGGTGGGAAAACTTTTCCTTTAATTCTACATCTATTAATGTAATGATTGGGGGAGATCGCCCATAAATAATCTGGAAAGGGGACAGATTGAGGGGAGGCTTGGGAGTACATCTTATTCGGAGGAGGGCAAAGGGGAGAAGCTCTACCTAACCTAGGTCAGTCTCCAAGCATAATTTAGTCAGAATCTCCTTTAAAGTCCTATTTGTTCTTTCTACCTGTCCTGAACTTTGAGGCCTATAGGCACAGTGTAGGTTCCACTTTATTCCAAGGATATTACTAATTAATTTAGATATCTTAGCCGTGAAGGCCGGACCATTGTCGGACCCCAGAGCTAAGGGCAAACCGAAACGAGGAACTATTTCTGTCAAAAGCTTTTTGATGGTTACTTCAGCTGTCTCTCTCTTAGTGGGGTATGCTTCTACCCATCCTGAAAACGTATCTACAAAAACTAGCAGGTATTTGTACCCATACATGTCAGGCTTCATTTCAGTAAAGTCCAATTCCCAATGTTCTCCTGGAGTTAGTCCTCTGTGTCAGACCCCAGGGGACCCGGTTACCTGACTAGCATTTACCTTGAGGCAGGTGGGGCATCGTCTCACCATGTCCTGGGCCTTTTGAGCTAATCTCTCACTGACAAAATGAGGTTGCAGGGCAGCCATCATCCTTTTCTCGCCGAGGTGAGTGGACTCGTGTAGTTCTCGCAGCAACGTATCTTCCACAGCGGCTGGAAGCACCACCTTTCCCTCTTTAGTCATCCACCATCCATGCTCTCCTTGAGTCCAACATTTTCTGTTCATTTCTTTTATTTCTTTATCTGTGTATTCCGGTCTTTCTGGGAGCACCGGTGTGGGGAGTAGAACCATTTGTTTCCCCACTGATTTTCGGGCAGCTTGTTTGGCTGCCTGGTCAGCAGCATTATTACCAATTATTTCGGGGTAAGCCCCTTTTGGTGCCCACGGCAGTGGATGATGGCGACCTCTCGAGGTAACCAGATTGCTTGTAGCAATGCCAATATCTCAGTCTTATTTTTCAAAGTCAAATCCTGTCCAAAGGTCAATTTGTCAGCCTCTCGGGTTAAAGCAGCTGCTGCTGTTATTGTCCTCAAACAAGTAGGCCACCCTCAGGCCACTGGGTTGAGCTTCTTTGAGAGGTATGTCACAGGCCATTTCCATGGCCCAAAAGCTGAGTAATCACTCTCTTAGTTGCCCCATTTTTTTTTTTTTTTTTTTTTTTGGCACATACAGGGTAAAGGGCTTTTTTAAGTCTGGCAATGCAAGGACTGGAGCCAATGTAAGTGTAGTCTTAAGAAATTGAAATG